CAATTTCTCTCTGTCTATAATGATTTCTCTGCAAAAAATGAAATAAAATGCTCCACTGGGCGCAGCTTGATACGACCGCAGAGGTCGAACCCTGAACAGTTGGGGCAAGTATGGACACAACATTCAAGCTTAATACAGCTCTGAATTTGGATTGTGATTAAATATTTGACACAGCATAGGTTTCTGACACAGAATGAATGTGGTCTAAGAACTTAAAATTTTTTAATTTACCTATTATGGTCCAATATTCAAAATCTAAATACATGGTTAGATACAGCATATCAAAGTATCCAAAGAATTCAATTTTTGATGAAATCAAACAAAGTTTAATTTTGGACCCTTTTGACCTCAATGTGGACCATTTGATAACGGGGCCAAAATATCAAAATACATGGTTAGATTCAGCATATCAAAGAACCCCATATATTCAATTTTTGTTGAAATCAAACAAAGTTTAATTTTGGACCCCAACTTGGACCAACTCGAAAACTGGGCCCATAATCAAAAATCAAAACACATGTTTAAATTCAGCATATCAAAGAACCCCAAGAATTCAATTTTTGTTAAAATCAAACTAAGTTTAATTTGGACCCTTTGGACCTTAATGTAGACCAATTTAAAAAACGGGACCCAAAATTAAAAATCTCATATCAAAGAACCCCAATAATTCATTTTTTGATGAAATCAAACAAAGTTTAATTTTGGACCCTTTTGACCTCAATATGAACCAATTTGATAGCAGGGCCCACAAATAAAAAATCTAAATACATGGTTAGATTCAGCATATCAAAGAACCCCATATATTCAATTTTTGTTGAAATCAAACAAAGTTTAATTTTGGACCCAAATTTGGACCAATTTGAAAACTGGGCCCAAAATCAAAAATCTAAATACATGTTTAGATTCAGCATATCAAAGAACCCCATATATTCAATTTTTGTTAAAATCAAACTAAGTTTAATTTTGGACCCTTTGGACCTTAATGAAGACCAATTTGAATACTGGACCCAAAATTAAAAATCTAAATACACGGTTAGATTCGGCATAACAAATAAATAAATGTGGTCAAAGATTTTAAAATTCTAATGCGCCATACTGTGCAATTAAAGATTACTTCTTGAAATTTTTCAATATTTGAAATTTGAAAAAAAAATATTTGAAGAATAATTCTTTTTAATTTCTGAAATCTGAAAGGAGAAAAAATTGACCCCCCACAATTTCATTTTAACCCCCCACCCCCCCTTTTTCCCCAAAAAAAATCTTTTCCTCAAGATATGGTCATAATCTCAATTCAAATTTCCAATGGAGTTTGCAACCATAATTACCCATTTAAATTTACCATAGTGCTAACTTAATCTATTTTATAATAGAATTTAAAATGTGGTGTCAAATCTTTCATATGGATTTTTTTGTAAAAAAAAGAAGATGCAACATTTGCAGATATTTTTACTGGTCTTCCTTTATAAATATGCATTTCTTTAAACATAATTTAAAAGCAGTGTAAGGGAAGTAATCAAAACGTTGTATTTGGATTACCTCCCTTACACTGTTTTAAATTGTCTTAATTGTTCATTAACCATTACTTTATACATCATTTAAAAGCAGTGTAAGGGAGGTAATTCAAATGATGTATTTGATTTATCTCCCTTACACTGCTTTAAATTATGTTTTGTACTAAAGTATTTGTCCATTAACCAGGACAACCTTGTTTTTCCCCCTAATTCCTAAACGGTTTGAGCCATAACCCCCCAAAGCAAATCCTAACCATCCTTTGTAGTATGGAAACTTGTGGTATAATTTCAGAGAGATCCATACACCGTTCCACAAGTAATTGTCTGGAAACTAGAAAATGCTTATTTTTGGCCCCTAATTCCTTAACTGTTGGTACCATAACCCCTAAAATCAATCCAAACCTTCCTTTTGTGGTATTTAACCTTATGGTAAAATTTCATAGAGATCCATTCACTTAAACTCAAGTTATAGTGCGAAAACCAATGTGTCTTCGGACGACGACGCCAACGTCATACCAATATAGGATAAAAATGGATAAAAAAATCTTTCAAAGGCAATAACTCCTGTAAACATTCAACTGACAATCAGGGGTTCAAATTAGTGTGGGTCCAAGATCCGGGACCTGTCTTTTCTGGGAGAGGATTTTTCGTTTTTAGATTACAAAAGTCAAGGACCTACCATTCTTTACACTGATGCTTGATACACGACCATTGATTTCTTATGGAGGACCCTTCACTTAAAATTTCAAATGGTCCCTTCATTATTTAAAGCAAATTTGAACCCATGACAATTTCAGTTAAGTTGACTTATTTGTAGATTTTATTTTGCTGAAAACTTTTGCTTTGCACAATCTATAATAGTTGCTGCCAAATAATAAACAAAATTAGTCTTTCAAGCGTGATAACTCCTATAAGGGGTTAATTGATGATTCATGCTTATTGACTAATTTGTAGATCTTATTATTCTGGTCATTTTTACTGTTTAAAATTATATCTGTTATAGTTTTCAAGATAATCAAAAACTGTGAATTTGAAAAAAAAAATGACATTTCAGGGGTAACAGCTCCATTGGATGTCCAATTTTTCTGATATTTACTCAGCAGGTCAATTTTAACCCATGTAAGATTTGCTCATGCTTTAGATTTTCAGATAGAAGCCAAAAACTTTGCTAAAAATTGACATTTCAGGGGAAATGACTCCAAAATGGGTTGTCATATTTATTTTTTTTTATTTTCTCCTAGATAGACCTTGACCTGTTGATCATTTTTCCCTGTCCTATTTGCTCAAACTGATTTAGTTTATGAGATAAACGCCCAAAACTGCATTTTACCACAATGTTCTATGATTAGCCATGGAGGCAATGTTTGTTGACAGACCAGAGTAAAAACATACTAGATATCCTATGGATCATTCAGGTCAAGTTTTGAAATTGGTCCAGTGGTTTCAGGTAAGATCTTTGAAAAAGTTTACACCGGACAACGGATCCAAAGGGATAGCCAAAAACTCACATCGCCTTTTGGCCAGGTGAGCTAAAAGTTACCATACTTTGTCTATACTATACTAACGTACAGGGTGTTTAGGAAATAAAAATTAATTTCATATTTAACGAAATGTGACAGCAACAAACCATGACAAAATATGAATATTTTGTCAAATTTCATGATTTTCCTCGTTTAACATCATCTTTATAATATATTTTGGATTGGAAAAGTATGAGGGCACCCGAGACACAACTTCATATTTGATGAGATAATGTCAACAGCTATAAAAAAGCTTTTCTTAAATTATTTTGTTATTTCATGATGTTTCCACAAAGGAAATATAGATGGAATACTGCATAAATTCAGCACTTTTCTTTGTTTTCATGAAAAACAGGCAAATGATGACTTGATTATGACACAAGAATTTGAAGATTTAAATTTTTGATGAACTCATGAGCAAAACTTATGCATTATTAAAAAATTACCATTCTAAATTATGACTACAATTCATGACAACATGTACTTAAGAGGTGAGTTTTTTAGAAGCATACTAGCACTGCGCATTATATAAAAACAAGATGTCAACCTTGGACACATATATAACCCTGCCTGAGAGCTATGCTCAAGGGATTATATTGGTTGAAGGTTCATAAAGTGTGTGATACTTAAATAAACAGCTGCGCCATGAGCACATGATATGCCCGTCGTCTTGTGTGTGAATTTTTATGCAATAAGCATAAATAGTTTCTGACATACGGCGTGACATGCGAAAACCCCCTTTTTTTTTTACAAAAAACTCAATATCTCTTAAATAAAATTTTGAATCAAAACCAAAAAGTATACAGATCTTTAGATTATTATAACTAAGGAGTGTGTAAAATTTTAAGCAATAATCATAAATCGTTTTTGAGATACGGCGCGACATGTGAAAACCCCCCTTTTAAAAAAAAAAAAATCAATATCTCAAAAATAAAATTTTGAATCAAAACCAAAAAGTATACAGATCTTTAGATTAACATAACTAAGAAGTGTGTAAAATTTTAAGCAATAATCATAAATCGTTTTTGAGATACGGCGCGACATGTGAAAACCCCCCTTTTAAAAAAAAAAACATCAATATCTCAAAAATAAAATTTTGAATCAAAACCAAAAAGTATACAGATCTTTAGATTAACATAACTAAGAAGTGTGTAAAATTTTAAGCAATAATCATAAACTGTTTTTGAGATACGGCGCGACATGTGAAAAACCCCTCCCCCTTTTTTTACAAAATACTCAATAACTCAAAAATAAAATTTTGAATCATCACCAAAAAGTATACAGATCTTTAGATTAATATAACTAAGAAGTGTGTAAAGTTTTAAGCAATAATCAAAAACTGTTTTTGAGATACGGCGCGACATGTGAAAAACCCCTCCCCCTTTTTTAACAAAATACTCAATATCTCTAAAATAAAATTTTGAATCATCACCAAAAAGTATACAGATCTTAAGATTAATATAACTAAGAAGTGTGTAAAGTTTTAAGCAAAAATCATAAAATGTTTTTGAGATACGGCGCGACATGTGAAAAAAAACACACACCTGTTTTAAGTCCCGTAACTCAAAAAGTTTTAATCTTATTTTCACCAAAAAGTATACAGATCGTTTGACCATCATAAGAAACAACTATGTTAAGTTTCATGAAATTTGGATAAGTCATTCTCAAGTTACGGTGCGACATGTTTACGCCGGACAGACAGACGGACAGACAGACGGACGGACGCCGGACATTTGTATACCATTATACGTCCCGTCAAAAATTTGACAGGCGTATAAAAAACCATATCATATACACTTTATTATATACATGTATATAATTATAACAGGTGTTGATCTGTTGGGGTTTGATAAATCCTGTGACTGGTATCAATATCGTTCACGGATGACTTATACAGAATGATGGTCATTGAATTTATGACACATTTACTTGTATTTACTACTTGGCATATAATAAACACTATACTCACATTTTGTAATGTTGTCAATGTCTTTCCACTTTTTGCATGTAGCACAGTGACCTAAGAATAAAAATAGATATTGTTCATTTGAATTCACAAGATTGAAGAATTTGTCTGTTCAACATGAGACTGGTGACTTGAATATTGATACAAATCATACATGCATGATGAGATGATTAAAGCACTAAATTTTCATCTTGACAACATTTATACAACGTTTCGGCAATAAAGTTTATCGTCAGATTGTAGGTATTCCTATGGGCACCAGTTGTGCCCCTTTAATAGAGGACTTGTTTCTTTACCGTTATGAATCACAGTTTATGGCCAAACTCAGTAAAGAACCGCCTAAATTCCATTTAATTGATAAATTCAACAACACTTACCGTTATCTTGATGATATTTTTTCGGTAAATAATCAAGAATTCTCTAACTATACTGCTGAAATTTACCCAAAGGAACTTACTTTAAATTAATCTAATATCAACATCAATAACTGTCCTTTCCTAGATTGAGATATTTCAGTATTACACCAGAAACTCTACACAAAAATTTACGACAAAAGGGATGATTTTTCTTTCCCTATTGTTAATTTTCCCTTTTTGGACAGTGATGTTCCTTTGGCACCGTCTTACGGTGTTTATATATCCCAACTTGTTCACTATGCTCGTGTCGGTAGTGACGTTTTGGATTTTTAATGAGCGTAATCTATGTATTCCAACAAATTATTAAGTCAGGGATTTCATTACCACAAATTACTTAAAATCTTTACTAAATTCTTCCATAGATACAAAGATTTGGTCTGCAAGTTTGGCTGTACCTGTAGAAAACTTATTTCAAATGGAGTAGCATATCCTAAATTTTACGGTGATGTTGTAAACCGAGCCCGGTAATTTAGATATTGACACTATTCAATTGCAAAATAGAAATAAATGTGGATAGTGTCAACATGTGGACACAGATGATGCCCCCGCTTGCATAGCATATAGTTATAAAGGGACATAACTGAAGAACAGTAAAAGTGACGCTACCCAAATTTGAACTTGATCTGAGTTTTGTGGTAATAAGCGTTGTGTGTAAGTCTCATAATATTTGGTTGAGGCTAACTTAAGTAAAGAACAGAAACTAAAAATTCAGCAATTTTTCTATTTGTAAACACGCATAACACTAGAACAGTTGTGTATAAGTTTTAAAACATTTGGTTGAGACAAACTAAAGTTAGAGAATGAAAACGAAAAATTCAGCAATTTTTATGTTTATAAAGGGACGTAACTCAAGAATGGTAAAAGTGTTCTCACCAAATTTTGTACTTAATCTGTATTATGTAGTAATAAGCATTGTGTATAAGTTTCATAACATTTGATTGAGGCAAACTAAAGTTAGAAAACAGAAACAAAAAATTTGTACTTAGTTTTGTGGTAATGAATATTGTATATAGGTTTCATAATGTTTGGTTGGGGCAAACTTAAGTTACAGAATGGGAACTAAAAATTTTGCAATCTTTCAATTTATAAAGGGGCATAACTCAATAATGGTTAAAGTGACACTATCCAAATTCAACTTGATCTGTGTTTTATCAGTAGAAGTCAAAATTAAACATTGCATTGTATAAAGCATTGATTGTAGTTGATTCAACTATAATCATGGACAAAGGAAGATAACTCCAATTTTAAAAATTACTTGATATTTAGAAGAAAATAAAAATTTAGCAATTTTTCCATTTATAAAGGGGCATAACTCTAGAACGGTTAAGGTGACACCACCAAAATTCATATTTGATCTGTGGTTTGTGGTAATAAGCATTGTGTATAAGTTTCATAACATTTGGTTGAGGCAAACTTAAGTTAGAGAATGGAAACTAAAAATTTTGCAAATTTTCCATTTATAAAGGGGCATAACTCTAGAAAGGTTTAAGTGACGCCACCAAAATTCAAACTTGATCTGTGTTTTGTGGTAATAAGCATTGTGTATAAGTTTCATAACATTTGGTTGAGGCAAACTTAAGAGATCGGAAACTAAAAATTTTGCAAATTTTCCATTTATAAAGGGGCATAACTCTAGAATGGTTTAAGTGACGCCACCAAAATTCAAACTTGATCTGTGTTTTGTGGTAATAAGCATTGTGTATAAGTTTCATAACATTTGGTTGGGGCAAACTCAAGTTAGAGAACGGAAACCAATTTTGGGACGTACGTACGTACGTATAGATGGACAAGGGTAAAACTTAATGCCCCCTCCGCTACGACAGGGGCATAAAAACATTACTTTTACTACAAGGTGTTCAATGACCTTGACTGCCCATGAGGGTCTTACATGGTTGGCAAAATAGATTCTGCCATCATGGATTGTAAGGTAGCAGAAAACAATTGGTCTAGACATTTAAAGAAATTTGCAAATTATGAATAACATTGATGTGTTTTATTTTATTTTAAAATACAACTGTTTTTTTACAAATACAAATATATTTTGTTTGATTGAATATTTTTTTTCAATTTGGCCATAAAAGGGGAGATAACTCAGATAATGTAACTTTTATAAAGGAATGTGTAGTAAATTTACCTATTTTGTTCGACGAGTTTATTATTACTATTCAAATTAAATAACTAGAGTTGATATCAAGCGATATCCAATTCTCACAAGTTTTTAAACCAATTTCTCTTATAGTCAACACTCTCATCTGTTAAATTTAAAATTCTGTGAAATCATTGATAAAGTCATTTGTACCAAGGATTATCACTATACAAATCCTTGTTTGTACATACCAGTATGACGTCATATGTCATGATCTGGTGTCAACTTTTACATCAGACATTTTAAACTTTTTGTACACCTAATGTTACAAAATATGACAAAAAGAAGATTCTCAGTTGAAAAGTGTGGGTGTTTTGTATATAATTAAAGAAATCGAAAATGTCCGTTGCCAAGGACGAAATGTACATCATCTTAACCTTTGAAAGTCATCAATAACCTAATGCATCGCCAATGGAAATGTAGTTATATCGTCTCATGATGCTGGATAAGCTAATTAGATTTACACAATTTTTGTGAGAAATCTCTTCCTGCAAGAAATAGATAATACCAAGGATTTGTATAGTAAGATCTTACTATACAAATCCTTGATAATACTATTATAGGCCACAACCAGAAGATAATTCATAATACCCCTTTTACGATTATTCTAATATTTTCTATCCTCAATAATTATAGTTTTAACATAAAAAGCATGGCTGAAACGACTTGACCAAGTATGACCGTAACGATTGTGGCCGAAGTGGTAATTTGGCCGAAACGGTAGTGTGACACAAACGTCTTGCATCGGTATATATGTACGTACGGAGATCGGAAGTATTCATTATTATTGGAATAACTGTATGACAGCACTATTCCATTTATTTAGTGTGTTTATTTTCCTGCATGAGAATGACGGTGTAAATATAGTGACAAATATATATAGACTTTGACCAGTACCTCCATTCTGCTGTGCTTGTTTGTGTGTGAAGGGCGATAATTGACAAAGGGAGTTAATTTTTTATCATCGTCACATTTTTATCGTGTATCTGTGATTTTTTCACTATATATTTCATACAGAACTACGTAAATGAAATATATCTGAAATAATATCTGAACAAGTCTAATTTCCATGTTCCATCTTTCACCAGCAATTATATTTTTATTCAGGCATCTTTTTGGAATATTTTAAGTTTCAGTATTAACTAGAGTATATTATGCACCAACTATTGCCAATTACACACTCTTTCTTATATTTCTTCTAATAAAATAGTATAATTTAAATGTTCAAGCCCCCAAAAAATCATGTTGTCCGGTGTTGTTTTCTGACAACTAAATCATTCAAAGAATATCTAAATTAAGTACAGAGGCTTGTTAAGGGGGGGTATCAATATCCCATATCCCATTAAGTTTTTATCCCAATATCCCATATCCCTATAATGTTTACCCCTAATATCCCAATAAATATTGTTTACAAATATCCCATATCCCTAAAACTATTTTGAAATATCCCAAAAAATCATTATAAATTCATTCCCAAGCCCATTTTTTTCTCATCATCACAACTTCAACAATTTTGACTGAAAAATGATCAAATTATATTATTTATTTTCAAAATACTAACATTTGATTAAAATTATATTCCTTGTTGAACTAGAATATAAAGAGAAAAACAAACTGTGGTAAAGGAAATTTACAGTGCATACTTCCAGTGTTAAATAAGAATATATGTGTCCAAAAGATGAAGTGTTCCATCTTAGAGCCTTGTATAACAATCTCTTTTTATGTGATCATAAACGATAAATTTAGTGTAAGGGGTATAATTTCAGACTTTTTTTTTAATTGTTCAAACCGTGATGCATATGACTGTAAAATTTCATTTTGATAGCATTCTTTTTTCATTGGTAAGAAACTTAATTCATCCTACACGTTAACCTATGTTGGAAAGAACAGAAGGACTCAACCCTGTCTCTTGTCCGAGATTGCTCTGACATCCAACGGCTGTTTTGCCAGACAAGCTGAGACTCTGGGACGTCAGAGCACGTCCATATCAAAAAGTTGATATTTAGCATGCAAGTTCAATAACTCAAAATTTAACACAAGAAAGCTTTCTGCTAATGCACCTACATTAAACTTAACTGTTGCAATATTTTTACAGCAGGCAAAATTTGCACAGCCCTTGTTTTGCAAAGAAATAACACAAAATTTGACTCTGTGATCTTGAACTTTATGAATTTCATAGATCACAATATTTTTATTACTTTTTTCTAATTACCTTCCTCAAAACACCAGTAATAGAAGAAAAATATATTAATTTACATTGATTATTTAGTAATTATTCGTTATTAACATAGTTTAAGCTTTTAAAAAGCTATTTAAGAGATAATTTCAAATTCAAACGAGGCATCCATTTTATACGGCTAAATATATACTTTTTGATATGGGACGTGCTCTGACGTCCCTCGGCACCAGCTTATCTGGCAAAACAGCCGTTGCACATCAGAGCAATCTCGGACTACCCTTGGTCCATAATCTATTACAATCTGTGAAACGTGGAGACCGCTGAAGATCCTCGCCACGTAAAAAATAAGAGGTAAAACACTAGAAAATATCCCGTAATCATATAAAGCATCAAAACAAATAAAAATATTGACAACAATAAGGCTTAACTCATCAGATGGATACATCTAACAAAAATCTATAATTATTTCAAGAAAATTATCAATGCATTTTTTTAAAAAGTCAGAATGCGAATACATATGTTCAAACTCTTTTAGGTCATTTTTTAGTAGCAACAAACAAAAGAACTATGTCAATTGGACATGCTTTGATACTATATCTGCGATTGAATTTTTACTTGATAACATTTTTGTTCGCTTTGGAGATTCCGTATATCGTCAAGTTATTGGAATTCCAATGGGGACTAACTGTGCACCACTTATTGTTGACCTGTTTTTGTATTGTTATGAGTTACAATTTATGACTAAAATCAGCAAAGACCCATCGAAACAACATTTGATACAAAAATTTAACAATGCTTTTAGATATTTGGATGATATATTGGCTCTCAATAATGACGACTTCAGTATGTATACTAAAGAAATTTATCTTGTTGAACTTACTTTAAATAAAGCTAATACTAACAATGACCACTGCCCTTTCCTCGATCTTGATATCTATATCATTAACGGGAAGCTAAATACAAAAATTTATGATAAAAGAGATGATTTTTCATTTCCTATCGTTAATTATTCATTTTTAGATGGTGACGTTCCCTTGTCACCATCTTATGGTGTTTATATATCTCAACTTGTACGATTCGCTCGTGTATGTAACAACGTATTAGATTTTAGCGAGAGAAATTTATGTATTACTGAAAATTATTACACCAGGGTTTTCGATATCACAAACTTGTCAAAACATTTACTAAATTTTATCATCGGTATAAGGAAATCATTCGTAAATATAACTCAACATGCAGACATCTTATACGTTCAGGTATTTCACATCCAATCTTTTATGGTAATATTCTTTACAAAGCACAAAAATGTCAGTATTCACCTCAAAAGCTAACAAAACCTTTAAACAGACTTATTAAGAAGGGATATAGTTACGATACTGTTGTCAAGTCATTAAAGATTGCATATTTTGGCTTTAATATTGATTAACTTATAGGGTCTTTGCATCGGAATGAAACACATTTATTCTAAAGCCAGTTGTTGGCATGACACGGGTTATGTTCTTCTCATATGTTTCATGATGGTATAAAACTAAACCCCTAACAGGAGGGATTGTGCCTGATATTCATATGATGAAGACATAATCTTTCAATCAGTTTAATTGACGTCTGGAGCTGGCATGTCAGTAACTTAGGCTGCTTTACTGTGCTTATTGTTGTACGTTTGTTTTTTCTACATTGGCTAGAGGTATAGGGGGAGGGTTGAGATCTCAAAAAACATGTTTAATCCCGCCGCAAATTTGCGCCTGTCCCAAGTCAGGAGCCTCTGGCCTTTGTTAGTCTTGTATGATTTTTAATTTTAGTTTCTTGTGTATAATTCGGAGTTTAGTATGACTTCCATTATCACTGAACTAGTATACATATTTGTTTAGGGGCCAGCTGAAGGATGCCTCCGGGTGCGGGAGTTTCTCGCTACATTGAAGACCCATTGGTGGCCTTCGGCTGTTGTCTGCTCTATGGTCGGGTTGTTGTCGCTTTGACACATTCCCCATTTCCATTCTCAATTTTATATGAGCATATAATATAAAAAAAGAAAATGTGGTATGACTGCCAATGAGACAACTCTTCACAAGAGACCAAGTGACACAGAAATTAACAACTATAGGACACCGTACGACCTTCAACAATGAGCAAGGCTCATACCGCATAGTTAGCGATAAAAGGTCCCGAAATGACAAATGTAGAACAATTCAAACGAGAAAACTAACGGCCTAATTTATGTATAAAAAAATGAACAAAAACAAATGTGTAACACAGCAACAAACGACAACCACTGAATTACAAGCTCCTGACTTTGGACAGGCACATACATACAGAATGTGGCGGGGTTAAACATGTTAGCGGGATCCCAACCCTCCCCTTAACCGAGGACAGTGGTGTAACAGTACAACATAAGAACGAACTATACAAATCAGTTGAAAAAGGCTTAACTCATCCGATGGATACAAATAGAAATACATCTAACAAAACACAGAGTGGACGTGACCGAGTACTTGTACATCCCATCAACAAAAAGACACTAAGTACAGATCTGAGAGTACTCGCAGTTACTGACAGCTAGTTCAAAGCCAATAACAACTAATAAAAAAGTAATGCATCTGAGACTAAATTATCAATCATTACACATCCAACATCCAATGGCACGGTAAACAACATCTCCGTAAAAATGAGGATGAGCTATCCCGTTTGAAATAAGTTTTCTACAGGTACAACCAAACTTCAAAACCAAATCTTTATATCTACGGAAGAATTTAGTAAAGATTTTAAGTGATTTGTGGTAACGAAATCCCTGACCTAATAATTTACCAGTAATACATAGATTACGTTCATTAAAATCCAAAACGTTACAACAGACACGGGCATAGCGGAGGAGTTGTGATATACAAATACCGTAAGATAGTGCCAAAGGAACATCACCATCCAAAAAAGGAAAATTAACAATAAGGAACGAAGTATAGAAAGCAAAACAAATACTTTTAAAATTATCAGTACATATGAGCATATAAATATCGAAAATAGATCAATCAAATTGGGTGGGTTTGGATGACTTTTAAATAAAACGACCATAAACTCAATGAAAATCTACAAAGCACTAAAATTACCTTCAATATTAAACTTTTTTGGGCAATTTTATCAAGTGAGATGTAAATATTTCTGTACTTAACTTTTAAATTCCTCTTATTTTTTTTCATGTTAAAAATTCAATATCCTTAAAAATGCATCAATATCCCATATCCCGTTTACTTTTAGGACAAATATCCCATATCCCTAAAATTAAAATGGCAAATATCCCGTATCCCAATATACCCTATACAAGCCTCAGTAAACAGGCTTCCGATTTTCACAAATATGATAGATTATATAGAAAACTTGTCTCTTAATGGTCTGATTTTGTTATAACTAAAGCATGTGATAAAATTTTGCATTTTTAAGGGTCATTTAAATTTTGTCCCAAGGGGTAATTTCCCTCCTGTTACCACTGGGTTTTTTCACCTGTGGAAACGTTTGAAAGACCAAGATTTTATTTCTTGTAATGCAATGAGCATCATTTCCTGAATGTATGACTCCATATGTATGGGTGAATGGCAGCCAGTTTGAAAAATCCGAACTCCCCAAATATCAGAATTTAGAGAAAAAATAATTTTGTTGTTCTCTCCTGTTACAGCCTTTTTGTGTACCTTCTGAGAATATTTCATTGTCAGCACTAAAACAGCAAATGTGTTTTTATAGTATCTTATTAAATTGATATGTAGATGGAAGTAATAAACTTCTAC